CCCCCGACTGAAAATGGTGATGGCAAGGTATGGAGATTAAGTAAAGCTCTATTCGGGTTGAAGTAGGCGTCGCGAGCTTGGTACAAAACCGTGACCAAGTTCTTGTGCGAGTGTGGTTTCGTGCAGTGCCAATCCGACACCTGCGTTCTTGTTAAGTGCAGCGCTAACACCATCGCGGTTGTTCTCCTATTTGTAGACGACATGCTCATCTTCAGTGATGTGACGACAGAACTGACTGACTTTCAAGTGAATATTGCTCGTCGATTCGCGATCAACAAGTGTGATGCCTCTAGCAGCTTCGTTGGTATGGAGATGTCATGAAGCAAGAACGGCGGCATACTGTCAATTGCACAGCTGAAGTATGTCGGCATGGTAATCAAGAGATTTGGCAACAGCTAAGGTCAAATGCAGCCTCACACCCCGATGAACATCGACGTAATGGCTACAGCAATCTCATGCAGCACGTCCGTCGTGAGCACCCTGACTACGAGGCCATCATGCTGGCCGCGTCGACGGCCGAGACTGGCTCCTTGCTAAGCTACGTACGCCAATCGGCTTTGAACGTCTACGGCCGGATGGAATGGATTCTTAAGAACAACCTGCCGCTGTCATTCTGCGAGAACCGTGCGGCTAGGAGGTACGATAGCTTGCTATTCCTACCATATTTATAGACTACTTACTTTTTGTGTTTGCCATGGACCAGATACACAAATCACGATCCAATTTGTGTGGAGACATTAGTTAGTGCGATGGACAGCCTCACTAGGGTTGTGGAGCGCGCTATCGCGGCTGAGCTACCTGAGCGCTTTGGACTCCTCTTCGACGGCTGGGCGCATGCCTCCCAGCACTTCATCGCAGTGTTCGCCTGCTACGACGCCGGCGGCGTCAGGAAGACGCCGCTCCTCAGCATGGCTCCTCTGCTTGACGCCCTCGATGACGACCTCTCTGCTCGAGGCCACATGGAGTTCCTGGCGAACATGCATGTCGCGAGACTATGACAGGCAAACAGCTCTCTCGATGTCTGTTCCTAGTGGCTGACAATTGCGCTGTCAACAGACTTCTAGCTACGCTAATGGGGGTGCCTCTTGTGGGCTGTGCTAGTCGCAGGCTCAATTTGGCTGTTCAAGCGGATATGGAGGAAAGTAAGACAGACTTGGACGTGGTTCACCCTTTGATGCTAAAGTTACGCACGCTTTCGCAGTCTGCCAAGCTACGGTAAGTTTTTGAGTTGCTTATTTCAATTTTGCAAAGCTAATAATAATGTTTTTGAAGGCTATAAACGCCTTTGCGACCTGTGAT